ACAACAACCTTAATGACAGTTGGAAGGAGGAGGAGTAAATTGGGAGGAATGAGAGTAAATTGCTAGTTGGCACCAGAGGGAAGATTTCCTACCGAGTGTGGTTTGGCTGTGAGAGAGGGGCAGGTGGTAATTAGGACCTTCGAAAGATGGTTTGAAAGCAGAAAGCACCTTCAGCACTGCCAAGAGATATGAAAGTTCCATTAACCACAGAATCTGGGGCACAGCTGAGTGGATGGATTGTTTTATAGGAATGTTAGGAACAGCAAAGTTGTACTTTCTCCATGCCTTAAGGGATTCCATTTGGGAAGTTCCTCCTTTTGGCTTTTTCAACGTATGATCCTTCAGTCTATGGATCACAATGTTGGGACATCATAGAACCTATACTTTTCCAGATAAAATTATTACACGTTAGTATTTCAATGTTCGAGTTAAGGCACCAGACCTTGTCTAGCTGTAAAGTCCATTCTGTCTGGACCAGATACTTTCTAATGGGCAGCAGGCTGCAAATCAGATAGGAGGGAACCATGAGAAGGTATTGGGTGGTGGCAAGAGAGGTTTTTCCTCTCTGTGTGTCAGTGGAGGGGCCCAGGCTGTAGGAGCCTCTAGAAATATCCTTAGAATGGTTGTTTGGCGGGGGGGGGGCACGAGGAGTCAAAAATATGAGTGACACTCAGACCTCAGGTATACCCGGCCTGTCCATTTTTAAAGATTCAAGTAAAATTCGTGCCACATTCATCTACAAACTGTGCTTCTCATCTCCCCTGTAGACTTGTGTCTTCATGTTTTATGGACTCTGCTCATTCCGGTAACTATTTACTGAGGGGCTAGAGATGTATCTTTGTAGTAGAACACTTGCTTAGTTAGCATACATGAGGCCCAGAGTTCCATTCAAAGTACTGCAAAATAATTTTAAGTTGAATATATTTATTGAGTGCCAAACACCATTTCAGACCTTGAAAACAATTGACTAAAGAAACAAAAAGACTACAGTTGAAAAAGAAAAGTAAAATAACTTATTAGAGAAACTCCAAGGAGAAAAAAACAGCAAGAAGTGGTAATAGGGAATATGTATAATAGGAAAGGGAACTGACTATTGACAATTAGAAAAGGCTTTGCTAAGAAATGACATTCAATCAATATCAACAAGAAAGAAGAGGATGTAGAGGGTATTTCTAGGGAAAGCTCATTTAAGAAGCAAGTACACTGAGTGCTGGTGGTTCACTCCTACAACCCTAGCTACTCACTGGCTATTTTGCTGAGAATAATTTGGGGAGAGACAAGTATGGCAGGAAGAAGTTTGGTTTTAGGAAGACAATTTAATAAACTGTCTTAATAATGGTGTATTGGACAAGCAGAGGAATTTGGAGAGAAATCACCCAAGTCTGGATATGTATTGAACCGTGTGATATGCAAAAAGGACTAGTATCTTAGCAAGTTGAAAAAAGCTGTTGCCATTCACTGCAATGGGGAAGACTGTGTGGACAGCAGCTTTATAGGGAGGGAGACTTGGAGATTATCAGCTTATAACTGATAGGCAAGTTCACCAAGGTAGTGACTACAGCATGGAAAGGTGGGTGACTATATCAGTTTGCTAAGGTGTTTACAAGGACATAGGACTTCTGGCAGTTTGCCAAATTGTGATCTTGATCACCCCCTCAGGACAAACAGAGATAAACCCAAATCCCATGAAAAAAAGAGTTCCAAAAAAAAGGTAGGTGATGCTTTCTGAATCCATGTGAAGCAATAGTTCAGGTAGAAACCAGCCCTCAAACTCTGTCTGATGCTACTGATGGGGCCTGCATTTCGAGCTTGGACAATGTAATTTAGAAATAAGCACTTCAGGGAAGAGCTTGAGAAGTACAGTTTTAATCAAAATTACAAGTGTTTGGAATGCCTGATTTCGGTGGTTCAGGCGTTTGTCAATTAGGCTGCCAAAATGAAATGTTCAAAATTATAACTTTCTCACAGTTCTGGAGACTCAAAAGTCCCAAATCAGGATGCTAGAGGACTTGGTTCCTGCTGAGGGCCATCTTCCTGACTTGCAGGTGGCTCCCTCTTTGCTGTGTCTTCATGTGACTAAGAAGGATCTATGTCTTCTTAAAAGACCACAGTACTATCATCAGGACCCCACTACATGACTTCATTGAAGTTTAACTTCATCCTAAAGACTGTCTCCTAATGTAATTATCTTAGAGGTAAGAACTTGGGGAAGTGTAAACAAAATTCAAAAGCAGCAAAGAGGTATTTTTCCCATGTAGAAGAAGAACAAATGAAATGATGGCAGGAACATAATGTTCTGGACTGAGAGGATGTTGTCTCTAAGGACAGTTATGGAATGGCTTTACCAAGGAGCATTGCTGGTCACTGAGGAAACAGGAGAAGAGCAGACTAGGTGGACACAGGTTCACAAAGGTCTATTTATTCTGTGAGTGTGTGTGTGTGTGTGTATGTGTGTGTTCTTGTGAAATAGAAAGCAAGGCTTGTCAGCTGAGAAGAGTAATGATGGCAGTTTGAGGTTAGAGGGAAATGAGTGGGTGTCATCTAGGAGATCAGGAGGGTGATAAAGTAGATATCAGTCAGATGAGGAGGGAGTGAGGCAGAAGGGTTGAAAGGAGAAAAAGGAAGCCCAAGAGTCTGCTAGCAAGCCCTGGCTGCTTTGGCCCAGGCTGGGTGAGGTCAGATCAGCTGAGGGCACATCACTTGGCAGATACAGTCAGGCTGCCAATGGCCATGTATACTCCTTGCGTGCATTCAAAGTAGGTGCCCCTTCCTGAAGACCTTTTGGTTACACCTGCCACAAACTGCTCTACTACGTTTTGTTACAATAAGATGCTTCTTGGCCTATGTCTGAAGTTTTGTATTGGGAAAATCTAGTGTTATGTGAATGGTGCCCCCTAGTGATTATACTGTTCAATGATATATATTGGATCTGTCCTGGATAATTCTCAATACTGACCACCCAACTCCCTTTCTGAGACCCCAAATCAAGATTATTGTTCCATCTCCATATCAAAACCATCAGAATATAGTCATTTTTAATCTTTTAAGTTAGAAATGAAACTTCTTTGGTTTCTGCACTTTTAGTAAAACACATTAACACTAGATTAGCAAGCATCTTTGAAGATCACTGATATCCAGGAAGGTTTACACATACATATTCCAGGTAGTATGAAATCTATGGTGCTATACATTTCATGCATCATTTTGTGAAAAAATGGACCAGCCATATTTGTTTAGAGACAAAACCAGTTAGACTTTCCATTTCAGTAGGACACATTGATCCAGCCAAATACCCCAGCTGATAGGAAGGAGAGAGTCTAAAAAAATATATTAAGTAAAGTCAAATCTACTTGTTTCTTTTCCTTCCTACAGACTCTCTGTATCAATTTCTTGGATAATCGCCCCCTTATGAGATTGATATTATTCACACCTTTTATGGAGGAGAAAAGCTGAGGAATGAAGAGGTGATATAAAATAGCCACTAGTTTGAGTAGTCACCGCTGCAACTCACTCTCTTGGAATCTGTAGGCATCCCCTCTAAGTTACTAGAATGGGCTGGCTTCCTTGGTGCTAGGTAAAATCAGGTATGAGGTGCAGTGAATCTTTGGACAGTGGAAACCATGAGATGCTGCATCTCTAAGCTTAAGAGCTAAGCATAGTTTTAATGTATGGATTTTTTTGTTTTATTTTGTCGGTTGTGGGGCTTGAACTCTGGGCCTGGGCACTGTCCCTGCACTCTTCAGCTCAAGGCAAGCGCTCTACCACTTGAGCCACAGCGCTATTTCCTAAGCATAGTTTTAGAGAAAAGATTTCTGAAGCCAAAATCATGGGTGGATCTGTGGATCAAAATTTGTCATTCAGTATCATAAATGAAATGTATCTTTGGAGCAAGGTAAACCTAGTGTAATAATTTGTATAGTAACTTAGCCATTAGAGAGACAAGTAAGATTAATAAAGTGTGCAAATTCTAATCCTGAACTCAGAAAAATATTTACTATTCTTGTGTCGGCCAGGCCTGAGGCTTGATCCCAGAATCTGGGCACTGTCCCTTGAGCTTTTTGCTTCAGGCCATGGTTCTAGCCCTTGAACCAAAATACTACTTCTAGCTTTTTTGCTGGTTAATTGGGAAGAAGAGACTCAAGGATTTTCCTGCCCAGGCTGGCGTTGAACTGTGATCCTCAAATCTCAGCCTCCTATGTAGCCAGGATTACAGGTGCCCAGCTTAGAAAAATACTTCAAAACTATAATAATCATTTTGCAAGGTAACTGAATAAAACTTTGTCTATGGAGCCAAAGTCCAATAATTAAAATTATTTAAGTTCTTTACCTATGTCTTTTATTACTGCTGCATTATTTGTGACATTCTCCTAGTGAGGTAGAAGAGTTCATTTTCTCAACTGTGTGCACAGCGAAGGTTTGGGGAATAAGGTAGTGCTTCATTTTCTTTTCTCTTTTTCAAATTGGATGGAAACTGATCTCTTTTCAAACAGCAAAACTAACTTTACAACTTTGGTGGGGGGGGGAGGATCGGGTGGGGGGAGGTGGGGGGAGTATGAGAAGGGATGGGTAGGGGAAACAAAGAGGAGGCAACAATGCTTGATAAGAAATGTACTCGTTATCTTGCCCATGTAATTGTAACTCCTCTGTACAGTATTCTCATAATAATAATAATAATTTAAAAAACCTGAAAGCAGGGGAAGCCACTTCTTACCCAGTATGGTAAGAAGGGAAAGGCCTAATCATTTCCACCACAATGAACATTAAGGAAAACCCCCTGCTCCCCTACATCCAGGGATTTTACGACTTTAAGTCTGAGCTTGACCTGCTTACATCACAGATTCTTCCTGCAGTCACAATGCTGCCGAGCTACCCTTGGGAAAATGCCTCAGAGCTGAAGACTATAGTTTGGATGTAATCAAGATTGGTTTTCTAAGAAAAACAAGCCTCTGATCCCTTTCAAACAATAATCAACAAAAAAGAAAGCTGGGAGATCAAACATCATGAGTGCAGGTACTTCTCACATAGATTACTAAAGTTCTCTAAATTGCTCACAGTTTTCTATCTTACATATTTATTATGATATATAAACAGAATGACACATTCCAAGCAGGATTCACAGACTACTTGGGCACCACAAGATAGGAGATTATTCCTCATTGTTTTACAATAGTTTGATTTTAATAAAGATTCTAAACAGCTTTATAAGTACCTGTGAGGATTTTCTTGGCTAGCTGACTATGGGTGTGGTGCAAGTATGGGGGAGAATTGGAGTAGGGGGTGGAGGGAAAAAGGCAAGTAGAAAACAGGAAGTCTCCCTTTCAGTTTTGCCACATGAACAGAAACTACTTTCAACTTAAAAAAATATGGCTGATAAAGTTCCACCTGCCATAGTTCCTGATCGGATTCTGGATTCTGGTTGCCTAGATACAGATGTAAACGAAAGTGCTTGGCCGGAGGCAGAAGAACAGCAGGATGAACCTGATGGCACCCTTCCTGGCTCAACAAATTACCAAGAAACAAAAGCAAGTACTTGTAGATATTCATATTTAATAATGGAATGTTCTGCTTGGCTTCTTTAAAGCACAGTCATTTTTTAAGAGTGTTTCACAGGATCCTAAAAACAATGTGTGTTGTTGTTTTTTTTTCTTTTCAGTCTTCCAGCACTTTGTTTATTCTGCCTTGACAAAGGAGACTAATGAAAGGAAGCCTAAAAACCAAAGGGATCTCAATCTTTTAATATACAGTAATGACGTTTTTAAATATGATGATGATTTCTTTGTGTGAAGACTCTGAAGGAACATGATTAGCTCAGGGTGTATATTCTGTCTTTAGCAAGAAAAGGAGAATTTTAATAGAATTTTATTAGAATGCTTCCTTTATTTCGGTACTTAGATTGTCCTCATTAGTTGGAAACACTACTCCAAGCCAGCAGTTTTAGACAGTGTTTGGTAACTTTCCTAAGACCTGACTTATGGACTCAGTCTCACAGAAAGAGCTGGCAGAGAGCTAGATTAGTAGCAAGCACTAATTTGAAGGATCTATTGACTGTCCCACACACTGACTATGTAATTTTAGTGATTGTTTAACTTCGGTTTCCTCTCTGATAAAATGAGTTATTTTGGCCTACTGTACAAAGCTATGGGATATGAATAAGCTACTTTTGGATGAAGTGCTGGCAGACAGAAAGGGCTACAGTGTGATCATTATCATTCATGTGGTAATAAACAAGTCTATTACTACCCGGATTCTTCAGTTCTTCGCCAATAAAAATCATCATTTAAATTCTTTCTATGATAAGGAAATAAGTTAAAGTTGCAGATGTCATCTGAAATGTAAAAGTAATTATACCTACATTACAGTACTAGTGGAAGAATGAAAACACATTTTATACAGCAATGGCTGTATAATATAAATCCATAAGGATTATAGCATTTTAAAATATTATGGAAAAAGATTAAAATTGACTCAGAGGAAAAACTGAGTAATAGCTACCAAATTGTTTGACTGTGGAATAATTTCTTACATGTAGTCACATCCTAGCCTGTAGGGATAGGATAAAAAAGCACTCCTATACTCAATTACAGAAGTTATAAAAATTTAATACTCTCAGACACATAAAAACTTTCTTTCTAATAAAAAACAAATTAGTTAAACGACAATGGTAATCCCTTTTCTCTGGAACTGGGAGAAGTTTTTCTGTTATCCTTAACTTTTGATATTTTTCTAGTATTTCCTCTACCATGTTTCATGTTTGTCACTTTGAAACTAACACCCCCAAAATTCACATCAGAGATATTTTTAATAAGATGTCATTTGTGGTCTTCCAAATAATACCTAAAAATTATACAGTCACTGGGGACTCATGCATGTAATTCTAGCTACTCAGGAGGCTGAGATCTAGTGGATCAGATTTTAAGTTCAGCCCAGGCAGCAGAAAGGTTCACTAGACTCCATCTCTTAAAATAACCTACAAAATAAAAGCAGGAATCAAGGCATGCATCAAGAAGTACAGTGCCAACCAAATAAGCATAAGGATCTGAGTTTAAACCCCTATACAACCAAAAAGGAATAAAGGGGAAAGAAAATTTATAAGATAACCCCCCCCACACACACACCTCTTCATACTCCAGAAAGACAAAGAAAAAGAATAGCCCAATAATTCATTTTGCTTAAATGTAGTATACATACTACTCTTTCATTCCACAAATACTTGAGAGTTAGTGGTTGCCAAACATATAAGGAAAAGTCCAAACATTTGATGAAGAAATACCCAAAACAGACTCATACTGGACCAGCATGAAATAGAAGGAAATAGAAGGCAGTAGAAATAGTAGGAAAGAACTTGATGTAGTAGGTGGGGAGCTCAGGTCTCAGGACTGTGCCAGTAGGAAACAGAAGTGAACATGGTTGGCAGGGATGAAGTCAGCTTCGCTGGGAAGTTAGGATGTTATCCAGCCAGTAGACATCTGAGTGCCCAATGGATCAGTAGGCAGCTTGAAGAAACTATTCGTTTGAGAGCAGGCCAACCCATATCATTGGCAGCTCATTGATTCTATCTTAACGAAGCCTGCTCTGGTTGCCCTCTACCACGTGGGCTGCATCAGGACAGCATGGCTATTGTCAAGTGTCCTTTATTTAATTCCTGGATATCAGAATATGTTCTAATAGCAGTCACCAAACTGGATTTAAGAGAGATAAAATGAGAGCACTTTGTTTGAGGAGGAAGGTTTCCAATTCAATATCTTGGCCCTAAATTAGGAAGTGGTGGTTTCATAGGAATTTGCTAAAGGAGATTTCTTTTTTTTATTTATTCCATGGGCTTTTATGAGACAGGGTCTTGCTTTGTAGCCCAGGTTGGCCTCAAACTTGTGACCTCCTGTGCCTCCTATGTGCTGAGATTATATCAATGTTCAGTCACAATCATTGTGAATCTCAGCACAGCCTGCCATTATTTTAATATGCAGTAAAGTAAAACAAGAAAAATACTCTAGAAACAAAGTCTATTTTTAACATATAGAATACCTCTCATTTTCTGTCTAACCCAGTTGAGTGACTGGCTATTAAAACTGTTTTTTTTATTTATTCAAGTTTTAAACATTTCAGTGGATGCAAAACAATGAGTATCTTTGATACCCTTTTTCATAAAATCCTTGCCAAATGAAACTTAACTTTCATGCAACAGAACTTTCTAGAAGTACAACTGTAATGAATGAGAAATTCTCAGCTAAGTGTTCATATGGCCAATGGTGTTTAATACTAATGCACTATTGATCTGTATCCTTTGCTTTTATTTCTCATTAACCATAATAATCTGACATAACCATAATAATCTGAGTTTCTTAGAGTGTCAAATTGCTTAGACAGACTGGTTTTCTAGTTTGGAGCTACATTTTAAAAATGAGCTGATTCCCTGAGGAAATCGTCATGTCAGGAATAATTCTCTGTGAAGACTTCTTTCAGAACTCAGTCAATAAGCACAGGATCTTTCACAAAGGGATTATCCAGGAATAATCTATGGCTTTCAAGCTTTCTACAAACATTTCCCTTATGTAATATCAAATCTATGAAGTACAGCTCTGTAGTATTTCTCCAGAACTTTAGTTTGATTTTAGTTACTAGCAATACAGCTGGGGTAAGTACAAGACGAACTAAATTGCTGATTTATGGCATGCATTCTGTTTAAAACTCAACAGAACATTTAAGGATAAAATTATTATGAATACTCTGGGAAGCATCCAATGGTAGTTTTTAATTACAACTTTTGTTGTAGGTAAGATTTTCTCCAGCCAAAATGTCAACCAAGAATGCTACAGATCTAGTTGAATATGTTGACAGGTAAGTATATAAATGACTACAGATCTAGTTGAATATGTTGACAAGTAAGTATATAAATGACTAGTTTTTTTATATACTGCATTTAATGATTCAGTGAGGGGTGAAAGTGTTGGAGTGTGACCTTTTGATTCACCCAAACTAATTCTCTACCTTCAGATAAACCTAAACCACCTCAGGAAGATGAACCTTTCCATCTAATGGGCAATCAGGTTTACTGCCTTCTCTTTAAGTGACTTCCTTAGTATCTTACAAACATGGATGAAATAACATCATAGATGCAAATAGGTGATATATGATAACATCAGTTAATTATGACTTTCAAAACAAATGATTCTGGTAAAACGTCATGATCACAACCCAGGAACTATGTGAAATTAATCATCAGAAAATTTTGTTTCTACTATTGACCATGTTATACCTGGAATGAATTCAAGAGCCTACAGAAGGTGAAAATCTTGGCATCTATAATAATATTATTGATGTATGTATATTGTGCAGCAACAGACCCTAGACTCAAGTTTATAAATTAGTGATTCAGAGGCAATGCCTATTGCCTTGAAGTTCCTCTCTCCAGCACATCAAAGGATCATTTGGTATGGTGTCCCTTTAATATTTCCAGGGCATTTGGGATTTAGTCTCAGCTCTTTTATTAATTTGCTCTGTGGCTGGAGTCAATTCACCAGGTTTTAGCTCTTATTTCAAATGAAGAGGTTGGTCTAGAGGTTCTCTGGGGCCTACTTCACATTTAAAATAATTCTCATTCCAAAATATATATCATAACCACCAAAGATAACCAAATAAGTGACATGAATCAATCAATACAAAGAAAAAATATTTAAATATTAGACTTGCTTTCTTTTGTAATCACTTTTAACAATGTAAGTTTTTATTGCAGTTAAGAATTCCTCTGTTCTTTAGCCAATTAAACTTAAATGTTCCAGTAATCCAGTATTTTATGATCCCCATGACTTATAATTGCTTATGTGAATATGAGTCTATAATTTAGAAAAAGAAAAACTGAATTTAAGAAAAGATTGTTTCAGGAAGTGGTGCTGTGGCTCAAGTGGTAGAGCGTTAGCCTTGAGCTGAAGAGCTGAGGGACAGCACCCAGGCCCAGAGTTCAAACCCCATGACCGACAAAGAAAAAGAAAAAGAAAAAAAAAAGATTGTTTCAATTAGCATCATTTTGTATGATCATATGTACATAGCTATTGAGCTGTTATGATTCTCTGCCAGGACTATCCTTAGACATATACTAATTATTACAAATGAGGGAAACCAAATGAACTCCAAGACATGGAAACAACAGGTCTGTTTTTGTTGTTGTTGACTTTGATGTCACCAACTAGTATCTAGTTCTTTTTTATTTTATCTCATTTTTTCCTTTTTCTATTGGTTTACCCCTGGCAATCATTGTCTTTGATTCTGGTCATGTGTGTGTATGTGTGTGTGTGTGTGTGTGTGTGTGTGTGCGTGTGTGTGTGTTAAAAGAAGGACAAAAGATGACCTCACAAAACACTATGTCAGAAATGAACTTTACAACTTCAGGTGGGGGAGGGGTGAGGAAGGTGATGGAGGAGGGAGACCAACAAAGGAGCGGGTAACAATGTTTGACAAGAAATGTACTCATTACTTGTGTAATGAGTGAAAATGGATTGTAAATCAGGCGCTATGGACTCATGCCTGTATCCTAGCCACTCAAGAGACTGAGATTTGAGGATCATGGTTAGAAGCCAGCCCAAGCAGAAAAGTCCCCATGAGACATTTTTTAATTGTCAAGGTGATGTACAGAGGGGTTTCAGTTACATAAGTAAAGTAATGAGTACATTTATTGTCAATCTTGCTACCCCTTCCCTCAATTTTCTATTTTCCCTTCCCCCAAACCTCCCCAAGTTGTACAAATTATATGTATTTTGCTGCTGCATTGATTTCCCCACCTTGTCCTTTGTCTCATCGTTCTGTTGTTCCCCTTCCCTTCCCTAATTCAAATAAACACATATACAATACCAGGGTACCAAAATCAAATACAGTGACAACAGAGGATATACCATACAAGGAAGAGCATACAAAAGAAACAAAAAACCACAGTACATTAAAAACAACAACAACAAAGAAACCTCTTGTGTCCATGTCTTAGTGTTCATTTCACTTAGCATCATCTTATATGGTCATATGTACATAGCTATTGAACTATTCTGCTTAAATAATATTATCCTAGATATATACTAATTATTGCAAGTAAAGGAAACCATGGCACCTATGTTTCTTTGGATCTGGCTTTAAGCTTCTGCGACACTCTTATCTCCAATTAACTACTCAAAAATCAGAAATGATTGGGCATTGGTGGTATAGTGCTGAGCATAGCTGCCTTCCAAAAACCAGAAATGGAGCTGTGACTCAAAGTGTTAGAGTGCTAGCCTTGAGCAAAAAAATCTCAGGGACAGAGTCCAGGCCCTGAGTTCAAGCCTCATGACAGACAAAAGAGATCATTTTACAATGTCAAAGACAATAAGTGTGGTCCACACAAAAATAATATCACCTAAAGAAAAGATAAATTCACTAACCCTATCACCTAAAGAAAAGATAAATTTATTTCCACCTAATTCCATGTGACAAATGGAAATCATTCTTCTGACCTATTAATTCCAGTATAAACCCAAGTGGCTTTGTTTGGCACAATCATGAACATTTAGGAAATAAGAAAACAAATTTCTGAAGCCAGCTGACAATGGCTCATACCTATAATCCTAACTACTCAGGAAGCTGAGATCTGAGGATCAAAGTTTAAACTCAGTGCAGGAAGGGAAGTATATGAGACTCTTATCTCCAATTAACCACCAAACCAGACAAAACAAAACAAAAAACCAGGAAATGGAGCTATGGCTCAAATTGTAGAGTGCCAGCCTGGAGCAAAAAGAAGCTCAGAGACAGGACAGGCTTTGAGTTCAAAACCCAGGACCAGAACAGACAGACAGACACATGTGCATAGTTTTTGATTTCTTGGATCTTAGAGAAATTGAAACTAAGGCCAAGAGGTGAAAAACTCTGAGCATAAGGAATATCATTAGGCCCCAATATTCATTTCTAACTTTTTCTGTTTCATATCCCTTTTTAAAATATCTAAACCATATATCTATTTCTCTTTGCCATCTGAGCTAGTTCCTCTTTAATCCAACCTCTAATCTCTCAGAGTGGGCTACCAACACTATAAAGGCAAGGGTTGTGTAGTCTTATGCTTTCCGATTCTGCTTCAGCCCATCATGGCACATTGAGTATCAGTTTTTGATGAGCAGTGGTTGACAGATGTAATGGATACTAAAGGTAGAAAATTGAGTTGTAAGAGCTCTGCATAAAGCAGTAGTTATGGTTGCTGACTAGCCAGAAAAGCAAAATAGAATTGGAACACTTTAATCATCGCAGAAAACATTTTCAATTGACATATTTAATTCAATAAAAATAAGCATTAAAAACAACAGTTTTTAAAGGAACTATACCCTTTAAATCATAGCATTCACTGAAGGGCAACAAATGTGTAGAATGCAAATGGATACTTAGACAAAGAAAAGTCATTATCAACTCATTAAACTACTGAATGCATGCTAAACATCCCAGTGGTTCAGCCTTACACACATGTATAGGTATAGTTAATGGTGGTACTCAGAACAAATAATAGTATCTCCTTACCCTCATGAAAGAAAAAAATCTAACAGAAGCTGAACTCAGTGGCTCATGCCTATAATCCTAGATAGAAGAAATCTGGTTTGAGACCAGCCTGGCTGAAGTTAGCAAGACTACCTCAAAAAAAAAAACAACAACAACAACAAACAATTTAGCTGTGGTGGTACATGCCTGTAATCTCAGATATTTAGGAGGAGGTAGAAGTAGATGCTTATGCCTGGCTAAACAAGGCAAAAGCATAAGGCCTGTCTGAAAAACAGAAAAAGCAAAAGGAATAGAGATGTGGCTCAAGTGGCAAAGTGCTTATATCACAAGCATGAAGCATGACTTCAAACATAAACCACAAAAAAAATAAACATAAGAGGTAATGCCTATAGGAAAACTCTTGGCTTTAAATTTTAGGGGAAAATATCAAGCAAACTGGTGAAGCTTTTACAAGGCTCTTCTTAGGCTTAAGAAGATGGAGAAAACCCCACACATTACCAGTATGATTAAATGTTACATCATATCAATAATTCATAGGGGTAACCAGGCAATGAAGGCAACATTGTATAGAGGTAGAAAATAGTTCTGATTTATACATGGATTCATCAATACACAACGAGCAGATATCCACAGATTTTCATTTAAGCTTAATTGAGTGGGAAAAGAACAAACTTTTTCCTTATTCATTCCCATCTGCTGATGGGAGAGCATTAATAGAAGCCAGGAGATCTCAGGTGTACTCTTAAGTCTTCCTAAAATCAGCTGGGAAAGCTTGAGAATAAAGATTCATCTCTCCTCTGAAGAAAATCTCTGTTCTATAAAACAGGGTGTGGTTTCAAGTGACAATGGTGAGCACTTGCTACTTCTCAGCTCTGCCCACCATTTCTCATCACCATTTCTCCATGTAATAAAGTGGGTGGTAAAGACTTATGAACATATATTATTCTCCTACAAGATTTAATTTTGAGTAGAAAACAAATCATGCTCATAAATCTCTTATTTTATTTTGACTCTCCTGGGGGAAAATTGCTCACATTTTAAAGATTGTTCCAGCCCTATGATTCTTTGGTCTTCAAAATCTTCAAAACTATTTATTTACTAAAAGTAATATATTTACTACTATAGGCTAGCCACTCTCTTAGATGCCTAGAGAGTTGCCAGTGGACAACTTAGACAAAGATCCCTGTTTTGTGGAGCTTGCCATGCAAGGTGAAGAGACACTCATTGCTGCCCATGTGGTCAGTGTAAAGCTGAGAAATCAACATTTGAGACAAGACTAGGACATGAGGACATGGACATGTTCGTTTGCCCAGAGAGGGCTCTTGTTCATGTCCACG